TTTTAATGAGTTCTTCCCGAATCAAAGCTTGGTTTAGCTTTGTATTGATTCTAGAACATGCCCCCTTCATATGCACATGGTTGTTTTCAAGAGGCCCCCAAAGGTTAATAGCTGTTATATATCATTATACACTAACAACTTGGTATAATGGGTAAGAACTGAATCAGCAATCGTATTATCTTCCCTTTAGCTTTATGGCCCTGGTAAGCCTCTTAACATCTATCACCTCTGTTTTTCTTTCAAAATGAATAATAATTGTTGAGTTCAGAAAGCATCTATAAAGTATATTTATATTAAGAGCCTCCAGTGGAAAATGAGAAGTAAATGTAAACTAATATAAAGACCCAGTCTTTGGATTATAGTTGAGATTATAGAATGTAGGATTTAAGTTAGACTATGAATGCATTAAAACACTTTGGTAAATAGTAGAATATTTTGGCAAATTTTCAGTGAGGAACATAAAAAAGTATGTAAGCACATACGATTCTTCCCAAGGACTAAAGTTATGATCTGCAGAAGAAAAAAAGTCTTTAAAGAAGTTCTAAAGTTCTAGAATTTATGGCAGTAATTCCACAGATTCGCTAACTACAACAACAAACTTATAGGAATCCTGCTATTTTACAAGTTGTTGAAGAAATGCTGAAGTGAAAATTAATCACCCTTCCACTGTGTAAAAGTTCACCTTCAAGCTGTTAAATGAGTGAATAGAGATCTATTATGATGTTAACAAGAATGTTACTCACCACAGGATTACTGCCATTAACAGTAGGAAATGAATCATTTAAAGACATTAAAATTGAAAGGAAATGTTTTTCAACCATTTGGAAAAAAAAAAAAGATTACTTCACAATAAAACTTGCTTTTGCTAGATTCTTTATTGTAGGAGCTTTCGCAAAATTTTCCTGATAGTATCATTTCAGGTGGCTCTTATATTTTTAAACCTCTATATTGCCATTTCTGTTCTGTAGAGACACCGGCAGAGGGGTACTAAATGGAAGTAGTTTAACAATGTTTGCAATCTGATACACAAAGACTGTAGTCTAGCTACAAACATTACCTCTGCCCCAGCACTCTCTCAGTCCACCCCCTCACCTAAGGCTTTATTTTCTGAGGTTTTAGCTCCCCTCAGTCAACTACCATCCAAAAGCATTACATAGGTTTTAGTAGAAATAAACAACTCAGAGTTTTTTAAATTGCTAAGCATTCTTAGTAACATTGGTGAAGTCTTGCACTGTCCAGCTTCCTCCTGCCCAAGACATGAATCATCTCTTTGCCCAGCATATCTACCCTGTATAAGCCACCCTGTATAAGCACTCTTGGTTATCAGATCAACTATAATGACATCACAGAGCTTATGTTCAAGTAACCCTTACATAGCTCCCTCAGGCTATGTGGTAAAGCCTCACCCTACTTCATCGAATTACAAAGGGAGTGTGTCATCACATACCACAGTGAAAAGGAGGCAGAATATAATAAACTACTTTGAGAGTGACCAGATTCACATAACTTTTATCACAGTACACTATTATAATTGCTCTATTTTATTATTAGTTTTTATTTTTCTGGGCCTAATTGTTTTGTTTTGTTTGTTTTGTGTTGTTGGCAGTATTGGGGATTGAACCTAGGCCCTCATGCATACAAAGGCAAGCACTCTACCACTGAGCTACAGCCCTAGCCCTTTACTGTGTCTGATTTTGAAATTAAATTTTATCATAGGCATATGACTTGGAAAAATCATTGTACCTAGGATTCCTTCCTATCTGCAATTTCAGGCATCAATTGGGTTGTTGAAACATATTCTCAATGGAAGGGGGTTACTGTTGTATTTATATTCAAAACTAGGTGCTAAAGTCTTTAGCTTTCTTCCTTTAAGTGCTAGATTCTATGTGGAGAACTTGATAAAAGGGTATGAGTCAAGATAAAAAGAGAAAGACAGCAATATTTATAGTTCAAAATACTTGAAAATGATGACATGTCATCTCTGAAAGCATCAAATTGGTATAGACTTGAATTCTTTCCATTCCTGTTTCTGGGAAGGGTACAGTGAACAACTGATGTTCACTTCACTTTTGGAAAGTCAATCGCTACTTCCTGAAAAGGAATTGGGCTGCATGAATCAAGATCCCCATGGATCATCTCACACTTGTACTACTACTTCTGGGGATCCATCATTAGGAAGTAATGCAAAATGTTGCCCATTTATCCTCATAGAAACGCCGGAGATGGTTATAATAGCAAAATGCAAGAAAGAATCGAAAAGCCCAATAAAAGGAATCTTAAAGCAAGTTATGATAATAAAAGTGGAATATATTTTGCAGCTGTTAAAAAGTGCTCCAGTTCCAGGGGATCCTATGACCTCTCTGCCCTCCACAGGCATTGCATGACACGGGTGCACTTACCTACATGCAAGCAATACACTCATACACATAAAATAAAAATTAATTAAAAAAAAAAGTATGCATACAGATTGGTGTAGTGGCTCTGATCTCAGCAGACCACCAGAGTATTCTGGCCGCCCTCTGGCGTCCCTCTGGCATAGGGGCTGAGAACACAAGGGACCACTGGAGAGCCCCCGGATCCTGCCTCCACATGGTAGTCCTTTTAATAAGATGATGCTATACAGCAGTCCCTTCTGCATGAAATAACTACCATCATCATGACTTCAGCTGAGCCTGATCACTAAACATTGTCACAATTGGGCTTGTTGACAGTTGTATTCATTCATTCAAGGAGGGCCAAGCAGAGTCATTGGACCCTCACCAGCTTATCCACCCACTCTTCCCAGCCAACTGTATGTAATTTAACCCTAATCACACATGGCCTCCTGGATTTGGGGAGGGCTAAAGTATACAATCTGGGGAAGGCTAG